TCGAGTAGCCACAGGCGTACAGTGAATAAATGACCAAGTCTAAGGTCAGGTGAATCAGGGCTATGAAAACGAAAACTCAGGAAGGTGACAGAGCCACACAGAATGCTGTGCATGGGCAAGGTGAGGACCCCCCAGGCAAAGGCCTGCGATAAGCAGAGCTTTCGGCTGCAGCGTGAGCACCGAGGATAAGAGAACTGAGCGAGGACAGAAAACGTGAAAGCAAAGAAGTAGCAGGGGCCAGTCATGTGTGTGGCATCGTAAGGGCTTTGGGTTCAAGAGCAGGAGACCCACACTTTGACACACGTGGTCAGAGGCCCTGAGGGTAACGGAGAGCATGGGCATGACTTTGGGGCTATCATACTGAAGCCCGGATAGACCAAAGAGGAGAGCCAAGTGTTGAAATTCTGGACACAGCTGGTCAAGATGAGATCTGCTGATGAATCAGACACAAAGACTAAGGAGGGAATCAAGGATGCCTGCAGATTTTGGCCTGTACCACAAAATGAGGGTAGTGCCATTTACTGAGAAGAGAAACACCTGGAAGAAGCAGGCCTGGGCACAAATGAAGTTTGTCTGCATTAAGTCTGAGTGCCCATTTTATTTCCACAAAGAGATGCCAAGTAGACATTTGGGTCCTGCGTCTACGGCTCAAGGAGCGGACTGAAGCGTCACCAAGCCATGTGTCTGGATGAGGTCACCCAGAGTGGTCAAGGAGGGGCAGATGGAGGCTGACAGCAGGGATCCTGGGATGCCAGCTCTCTTGTTGTCCCTAGGAGAGCACAGACCAGGCTCTGCTGCTCCTGCTCTGGGGCACAGTCCTGGGCTAGCTCCGGGGGCCTTTTTTTCAATCACCAGTTTGAGTTCAGCCAGGCACCAATTTGGCAGCTTTGAACTAAGCCTAGTCACTGACGTGGAGTAAGTGAACCTCTCCCACAGGGTTCTGGAGCCCTCACGTGAAAAACGTTCATCCTGAACCCCACTGGGAAAAAACATTTATTTGCCACCTGAATGGCAAATGGGCACCTAAAGCTTAACACATTCAAGCTCAAGCCCTTAATTTGCACTGAAATTAAGGTTTGAGTCCAAACACAAACACATGCACGTATTCAATGATAAATTAAACATGCAGATTTGACTATGCAAATATTGGTCACATAACACAGGCAAAAGAATGCTCTGAAGATGAGATGAATCCTATTTGAATGATTTTATTTATTAATAGTACAAAACTCCCTTGGCTTTCACTAAAATAAAGGCAACACTTCTTACACATCACGTGCTGGGCCGTCAGGGCTGATGAGCCGTCCTGTCGTAGGGGCATGTGGCCGGCAAGCAGCTCTTACCCGGGCTGGGGCCCGTGTTTGCTCTCTGCTGGCTCACAGTGTAGCGTGGCCTTCCGTCCCTGCTCTCTATTCAGGTATCTTTTGCTGCCAGGAGTCCATTCTGCAAGGGTTAGTTTTGTCCAAACTGGACAGTGCCACTGAGCTAACTGCGCACAAGTCCGTGGCCTGTCAGGGTCCACTCTGGGCTCCTCCACCTGCACTATGGCTTCCCCTACAAGGCCCTCTTCCAAGCCCCCTCACCCTGGGATGGCACAGACCTCCTTAGCTGCCCTTAACCCTTTCCTGTCCCTGCAAACTCCCCTTTATTGACTGCTCTTGAGTAACCTCCTTCCAGTGTTCCTGTTTCCGGCCAGAACCCTACCTGATACAACCCCCGCCCCCACACAAAGGCATCGCTGCCCACCTGAGGACCTCGTGCCTCCTGGGGAGACTGCCCTGTCAGTGTCCTGGGGGGATATATGACCAGTGGACAGAGCAAGGGCACCAATGTCAACCTGAACATGTGGCATTTAATATCTAACTTTTTTCGGTTTTTTTTTGGGGGGGGGTTGGGGGAGCCTTCTTTTTATTATTATTTTTATTTTTTATTTTTTAAATTATTACAAAAGTTTATTTTTACATCATTTTGCACATTTTTTTTCCATCTCGATTGTAATCCCCGCGGGTTTCCCATCACCAAATCACCCGTGTGCCACCACCATAGTCCCGTGCATTTCCCTCCCTTCTCCCCCCCACCCCCGTTTTTACTTTTTTCGGTTTTAACATGAAAATTCTCTTCCTTCTCCCAGGCAACTGTTTTGCACCCAGAGGTAAGTGCCACCACTCTGCAGGCCACCAACCCCAAACCAGGGTAGAGAGGTGTACACAAGGGTGAAGGCTGAAGCCAGCTCTACTTCTTGCCCACTGGCTGCTCTTAGGCAGGTGGTCAACCACTGGCTCATGACTTCCCTCCCAGGCAGTGGGGTCAAGTGGGAGGGTGGGTGTAGGAGAGGGTCACCCTCTCCCCAGGCCCAACACGCTGGATTCTCCTCTCTAGGCACAGTGCTCTACCCTGCACCTGTGCTACCAGGACAGCCCAAATCCTCTGACTAGGTCACTCTGCCCAAGCCCTGTTCAGTTGTGTGCCTCCTGGGCAATGCCCGCCCCGGGTAGCCAGCACTGCCACAAACCCCTGAGCGCTGCTGTGGCAGCCTGGCAGAGGTGCCGTCCTCCCTCCCCCAGGGCCGGCTCCTGTAGCAACCTGCCTAAGGGGAGAGGGCCAGATACCAGGGCCACTGTGTGCCCTCCCAGCAGGGCGTGGGGGAGGTCCAGGCAAGGCCAGCGCTCCTCACCAAGGGACCACCAATGCCCCCAGGGCCAGCTCTGGTTCAGGTCCGGGGCCCCCAGCTGGCTTGCGGCAGAGGCGCTCCCCAAGAGCAAGCTGAGGCCCCTCTCTGGCCGCATGGGCCACCGCCGCCGCGGAGGCTGCATCTCTCCTAGGCCGCAGGTCCGGGTTCCCGTCTCAGTCCCGCCACGCCCGGCAGAGTCGCCGGGAAAGATGAATG